AGTTAATTCATATTTGCAGCTAAATTGCTGAAGTCCTGCCAAATTTCATGACTTCCATATTATGAGGAGCCTATTCAAGAGAACAGACAATACCTATATTGCTTTACACAGATCTCAAATATTATGTTATCAAACAAAGGGTGTGCGATAGACTTACCTTCACGTGGTGCACCCTGGGCAACGTATACTCATACGCCAAAAAGTCTATTAACCGGCAGTTGACTTCTGACTACAAACTACCACCACCCCACTGTATGTCATATTCGACCCCTTCCACAGTACTCATTTTACCTTTTTCTCTACCTTTGTGTCTGTCTGCCTCTTTTACATCTGTGAATCGCTCTTCTGTCCCCCCCCCCCCACCCTCGACTTTCTGCTACTTTGATGAACCTTCCCTCTGTGAAGCTCGAAGTCAGCTAAATGGCAAATGATAGCTATCAAAATGCCTGCCATTTGAAATAAATAAATGTTATCAAACAATTTTCATCTGTTACTACATGACAGAGAATTCTATTCGCATCACAAAGTGGGTTGTGGTGAGTTGAGCTTATTGACGCCTTACTGCTATTCACATTCACTTACTCCTGGCTGAATCGAGTGGCATGACTCGAAAGTGGGAGTTAGGTGATGGAAGTTTTGAAAACATGATAGACCAAATTCTTCCCAATTCAAGTTAAGTGGGACTTGAAATGTCGTTTATCGTTGATTCCCCCCACCCCTCTACATGTTCCACTTATTCAGGCTCATTTGTCGCGACTAAAATGTGTATGTTTGTTTTTCCATTTCGTAGGCAGCAATTAAAGCCTCAAATTTTCCTTTTAGCGGCCATAACAAATTAGCCGATATCCCATACTTATAATCTCCAGGAAGTAGAGTTGTAGTGTGGTGATTTTAACCAAGCAAATACATTAATTAACATTTAAATAACCTTAATAAGTAAAGTGTCGATTGTTAATGCTTAGTGTGCATAAGCTATTGGACAGAAATAGTTTTTATTACGATAAATACTATGAGAGCAAAGCCAAGCCGAGGGCATAGAGAGTGAGTGAGTTGGTTATTAGCATTGATTAATCAAATCGTGTAGTAGCATTGGCGGTTGAGAAATTGAGACCGTGGTAGATCACCCACTTTCACTGGAGGCATCAGATACTGATAGGGGGGGCTGAGCGAAGGAATGTGAGAACTAGGGAGGTGGAGAGGGTATTAAATTCTATGCCCCGGAGAGGTAGATTTCCCCCGCCCCCCCCCCTTAATTCACTTGATATTGCCACCTCTGCAAATGCGTGCAGTGTTCAATTATTCATTCACCCCTAACAGGTCTGCCTCAATCTCCCTTAACTGGGCTTAATCACTGTAGACGTTTATGGCTGATACCACCACCTGGGTGCTATATTTTCAATTTACCAATTTACTTCTACCTAGATGGAAACATAAATTTAGGTGAAAAGTAAGTAGCCTCGCTCTTAGTTCTGCTTATTTTATAAATACAAATTTTAAATTTTAAAATTTTACCTCAATTTTATCATTAGTAATCATTAGACCTATTTAAAGCTAAATTGATACCTCTCTCTCAATTTTAATAAAAGAGGTGCTGATATGAATATTCAACTCTTAAATCTAGCAAAAATAAACAAAATATAAAAGAGAAAGAAAATATTTTTTTACTTAATAAACCTCATGATTTCCAGAGAAAGTTTCAAACCTGAACGTCAGATTTAATTAATGTAATCACCTTCCTTTTGTTTATTGAAAGAAAGTGTTAAGAGGCTAATGCATGAAATTCTCTTGAGATTCGCAAGAGGAGAATTTTTCATAATTTTTAATTTAATTGCAGAGAAGCAGAGAAATATCAAATCGTGTCGACTAACATTAATAAATTCTCAAGAAGTGAACGCTGCCTCCACCTAAACTTTTTGACGTCGTCAAGTAGACGTATTGGCATTGTGAAAGTGAGTGAATTGGAGTGCGTAAAGTTCTATGGCCTCCCAAAGTAGTTTACACAATTCCCCCACACCTACTTAATTGGGAAGGATCGATCCAACCTAACGCTCTTAAAATTATCAAGGAAAGAAGTTTTGACAACAATACTTATCTGGAAGCCAAGCCGCATATTTTCATACTGCTCAAAGAAAGCATAGTAGCCTCATCTTTTGTGTACTTGTTTATTGAATGTTGGATTCAAGCACTCCAACACCTGGATATGTTAGATAATCAGTTTAAAATTCATCGGTGGAATTATTGGCCGACCAGGTAAACAGTCATTTATCGCACTTCCAATCTTATTTAATCAAATTTTCACTCTTAATAGGAAAAAAATCAAGCCTTTCTATTCTTGTTCCAGGGGTCTGGGTAGTATGACTTTATAATGCTACTATTGGGCGCTATAAAACACCATAATTACAACTGGAGATCAATGGAAATATTAGTATCCTAGATAGACTAGACTAAATAAAAAAATTTATTTACGTTGAAAATTTTTTACAAATTTACTAAAATATCCAACGAATTTTACTTCTTTTAGACCCTTAACCTCACGTGGACACAAACTGGCAACTTGTCACCATCGCACCGAGGGTGGGTCTCCGACAAATGGGACAAACAGGCGACACTGACCTCATTTCCACAAATCACAAACCTGTTCTTTCCCATGTTGCCTATTTTATGGCATATGATTAGTACCTAACTGTGTAAAGTGATACACACTCGCCAATGAGACCCTTCTTTCATCTCACGTTATCTTGTAAAATCTTGATTGAATGCAAATATGTTAGTCAAACTTAGTATCACCTCATCCAAGTACCTACTCTTCAACGCCGTCTCAAAGTTCAGAGCCACTTAATTTTTCACTTGGGGTAAAAGGAACTTCACCATCTTGAAGTTGTTGTGGAGAATGTATATATTGCAGTATACTCCATTCGATAAGCTTCACGATATCGGACTTTCTCGGTCATAAACTATCATTCACCCAAATGCGATCCATGCCTTTCCAAATGCTGTGCGCACCGATATCTTAGTTTATAGGATCTGCCTTCAGTCATTTTGTTGTGATTTCGCAGCAAAGTGGATTGCAAAACGTTCTTTAGTTATTGAGCAATGATATCAAGCGAATTATTATATCGATGCTTTGTTTGTATAAAGCAAATAGTTTTACTATTATAGGGGTGGGGGGGGGGGGGGGGGGGGGGGGNGGGGGGGGAGGCGACATTATGGTTATAATGGAAACCGGGAATGATACTACGACTAAGAAGGATAAAGTGTTGAGTAATTAGACAGGTCGATTACTCAAAACATCTTCAAATTTTATTTTGAGTTTATATACCATTTAGGCTAGCATAAGCATAGGCCGGCCTAGGGACAACATAGTGGGAATAGAAAAGATAGCGTTCCTGTAGGATAAAGAGAGATGAAACCACTTATATTTGCATAAGAAGGGTGTGCGATTGACTTAGCTCCACGTGGTGCACCCTGGGCAACGTATACTCATACGGCAAAAAGTCTATTAACAGGCAGTTGACTTCTGACTTCAAACTACCACCCCCCNCTTCAAACTCCCCCCCCCCCCCCCCCACTGTATATCATATTCGACCACTGCCACAGTACTCACCTCACCTTTTTCTACCTTCGTCTTTGAAACATTCTTCTGTCCTCCCCCCCTCTCGAATTTTTTTACTTTGATGTTCCTTCCCCTCTGTGAAGCCTGAAGTCAACTAGAGGGCTAATGATAACTATTTGATATAAACAAATATTTGAATAAGGATGTAAATCTCCTCGGGTCGGAGTGGACGACTTGATAAGCCATAATGGTGTAGTTGCAAGTTTGGAAGCATGGCATAATGAATTGCTTAAGGTCGTGGAACCGTTAACAGTAGTGATCACTAGTGACCGTTAGTTAATCTTGGCTCATATCCAACGATTCCTATTATTATTTAAGTTCGGTTAGACAGGAAGCATAATATGGAGCCTATTACTCCCCATATTCAATATTAAGAAAGTTAATTTCTCCATGATATTATATCATTATTTCCATCATTTTCCTACATGACAGTCACTTTGTTCTTCTCATCCGACTCGCTCACTTTTGCCACTAAAAGGAGTCAAGATTGCAATGTCACATGTATTCATATTGCGTTGGAGCGATTATAAACATATTCGAGATAAAAGTTTGCTACGAATAGTGAAATTGTTAATCAAAGCTCATTTTTCAGAAAAAACTATAATCTTGTTTAACCAAAAACACTATTAATGAGCAGTGATGTATTTGCTAGTTTGAATGAAGTTACTGCATCTGACATAGCACGAGAGGACCCCCAAACACCTTCACGGATTTCTGCTTAATGAACCAACCAATTAACAATGGACACTGAGAAGTCATTTCCTGATTAGCACTAATCGATCCCTATTTTAAGATATCGCAACTAGAATTATAGATACATACATATTCCTCATTCCCATAGCCTGCCCAAGCCTGGAACACAACTTCGTTGTTATTCTAATAATGACGCATTACTTAGAGATTCAAAAACTAGAAAAAATGGAAGTTTGTACTTGAATTTATATCTCCATTAAAAGAAGGAAAGAGGCGTTTGTAAAAGAAGCAAGGTGGAAGTTAACAAGAGATCAAAACAGATTTTCAATCAGGTCTACAGATTTCATGCTGAAGCACACATATACAGAATTCGTTGTAGGTCAGCGATCAATGTGAAACCAGAGAGGGGAGACTTAATTTACAGTTGACTGAGATTAATTTCTGATAGAAGAGGAAGCAGAGAGAGAGAGAAAGGTGGAAAGCATCACCCATCAAAAAAGTTAATCAACATGCTCTAGTATTTGGAGAGAAGCTGAAAACTTATACAGCATACATCAAGAAATTCGATGCAGTTCCCTCTCCTAATTGAGACTACTTTTACAAGTACATCTTATCTACACATGAAGTGATTTGAGGGTGAGGTTATTGGCTAGTTCTATGGATAAAGGATTGGGGATAATAGGTCCAGTCATGACTAACTGCTTGTCATGGCTTCAATATCGGAAAGATCTGGAGAGGAAATTTTTCTAGGTGAACGGGTCGTCCAAGGGTTGACTGTGGTACTACTTCTGGGTGACTGACCCTCTTGGTAAAGAAAGTAATCACATGTACATCCCTCAGCGCTCTTTTGACTGCAACGGCCCAGAGAACTTCGTCTGCTTGACGATCTTTGAGCAGTTCTATTAGAAGATCGACTAGATCTTGATGACTTTCGACGCCTTCTACGGCCTTGATGACTATGTGGGCAACTAGGGGGGCATTGCTGTCGACGGTAGGATTGCCTTTGCTGTTGACTGTGCCTATCTCCACTCGAATATTCACTTGGAAAATCATACGTCCCATCCATAGACGCACTGGAGGAATCAGAGGAGTAGTCGTCTTCAGCATGAAGCGGTTCCTGCGGTTTGTTAGCTTCACCGACACAGGGGAGAGTTGGATACCACACTGGAATCATCCCACTTGTTTCAGGAGCTCTAGAGATATATGCCGGAACCATCTGCACCAACTGATCAGATGCACTTGAAGTTGAGTGAAATACTTGAGTTGGCTTATCTGTCCTTCGTATTGGTCTTTCAACCCGCTTTTCATCAGTTTTAGATAACGAAGAATGCCCTTGAGATCGTCTTGAGGTGTTTGGTGTTCGAAGATCGTGAGTAGATTTACTGAGTCGATCAGCAGGTTCCGCACATACTGGGTTACCATGGCCAGAGTAGTGTCGAGATGTCACATCCCTACTTACTTGCTGATATTTTGAATTACCATTGAGAGAATCTGGTTTAGCATCACGACGCCATGCTAATTCAAACTCATCAGTTCCACTTCCAAAGGAGAAATCACTTGTTGTTCGGTCTGTGTTCTGGCGAAGGTTGGCCACATTGCTTTCAAGAGGAACCGGCTGTACTAATACAGGAACGTCAAACATATTCTTACCCCTTGGTTGTGACTGTTCGTTACAAAGTACGAATGGAGAATGGGAAACCAAAACTTGGGAATATGGATACTGGGATGATATAGGGAGGGATCCATGATGTGATTTAATATCGCCGGCAAAACTGGCTGTCTGGCTATTTCGTGATCTCTCCGCAATGCCCACCTCCAGACTGCGAAGGTACACTATGAACGTTTTGAAAAGTTGCCAATCTCCAAAGCTCATCTGAAGCTCTGATCGAAGTTTTGTAAGATCGCATACTGATAGCACTTGTCCGTTAATGTTTTGACGTCTAACATGCGTTTGGTAGGTGGAGCAATTCCCGGCTGGTATATCAGAAATTGCTGATAGCAGTAGACAGACGTCATCCATGTTCATTTTGCTCAGCTCCACCATTGGGATATTGCTCTGGAAGTGCAAATACAAAATGCTCATATAAGAGATCAATTTCACGTTGCATATTACAAAGAAGGTATCATCTGCGATTTTTTTCCCTCCCTGATGATATAGGGAACAATTTCATATAGTGGTTCATCCAACGTTTACCAAACCATATGAAGTTTTATTCCATTCTACCCTATTTTTAAAAGCCGGACCGCACAAACTCTTTTCCTTTTATCTTTGTCTACTTAAAGTGGGGGTGTGCGATAGACTTACCTCCACGTATATACACATTTGAAAAAAAAATCATTAACCGCCACTTAACTTCTCACTACAAACTACCAATACCCCATTGTATGCCATATTCGACCAATTCCACAGAACACACTTTGCCTTTTTCTCTACCTTTGTGTCTGTCTGCCTCTCTAACACCTTTGATTTACTCTTCTGTCCCCCTCCCCACTTTTTGTGACTTTGTCTGTTCCTCAACTTTGAAAAGCCCGAAGTCAACTAAAGGGCTAATGATAACTAGTATAAAGCCCGCCATTCGATATAAATGAACTGTCAATTTAAAGGACTTATATTAAAAGCACTCTAGCACCAAAAGCCAACCTACTTCAATTGTCTCTATCATTAAATAGAGTTGGGATGGTATTAATGCTTGAAGTGGGCCACTATCTACTAACAAGCCTATTTCCAGGCTATCTCTGATGTACGTTAAAAGTGAACATCTGGATAAATTCAGGTTGGGGCATTGGCGACAATTTCTATGCACAAAATCAGATTATAATATGAATGCCACTGTAAACACTGTTCAAATCGAGCCGTCAATTCTGTCTCTCTCATTTTTTACACTCCATTTCATCTTGAAGAAGAAACGTATTATTCAAGCACTGGAGCACACATCTTGCGACCATATAACCACGAAGCATGCTAAAGCAAATTGTGTAGATTAATAAAAAAATATCGAAAGATGTTTGAGTCTAAGCTAGTAATTCTGGTTGGATGCCTTGAGATTTTGTTTCCTGCTTCGATAACGAGAAATTTCTGCGAATGAACTTCATAAACGATGTCTATTGGAATGGCTTAATCTTTACCTTAAGCCGTATTGGGCATGATGGAAAGATGGGCAAGTTTAATGGATTTGCATAGCACAGCCCTTTTTCAAGTTGTTCAGAGTCCAGCGATATGGGAAGTGGTGATCTTGTATCCCCCGATGAGTCATTGTTGTTTGTTGGAGCTATTGCAGTTGCCACCGCTGCTCTTGATCGACCGTTAATGTTGGAATCGTAGCACTGAGAAAGAGTTTCAAATGACTGAGGAACAGGAGCCGTCACATAAAAATCTCTTCGAGCCTTTTGTGCTTTCCCATTAGTAATATTTGCGTTTGACTGAGAAAGATCCAGCTCAGCATTTTTAGTTTCTTCCCCGCCTTCGCCAAAACAGATTTCACGGATCTCTGCAAAAGATAAGTTCGGTAAGACAAAATCAGTTATATTTTGCGTTTCCTTAAAGTGAACTCTGGTTAGCTCGGTTTCAATAGAAGTTATCTTGGTTAGTATCAAGCAGTTTCTTCTGTTTATCACAAGAGATATCTATATGAATACTTAATAATCATCCCCTTTGTTCCGGCCTTGAATTGCGCTGATATGGAGTTACAGAATTCTAGGGATTATCTATTTAATTATAAACTTTAGATCGTTAGAACATCACACATCGAACCAGATCTGTAAGTTTACGAGAGAATAATCGATAAATCCACGATTCAAAACAATAAGTTTTTATTTAACACTTCAGGATTTTAATCAACCAATTTCTACCTACTCTTTTCTGTCGTATTTTGATTACTCTACTCTGTTCCTTCTTCCAGATAATTTGCAACCCGAAATACTAAAGACGACTTGAAGCATGAATTTGTGACCTTAAAACGCACCGAACTTTTTGAGGTTTGTTCAGACAAAAGTGAATAAGCACAAGAAAACGATCTAAAGCCAGTGTATATTCAAGATTTGCAATCCTAGAAAACGTGATCATTAAATGAATAACCTGACAGATGTCACTAACTTCGATAAAATCTAATTAGTTAGCGTAATCAATTTAATACTTAGTAATTGCGTTCATTCTTCTTGTCAGAATTTGAAAATAGATTAATGTGCGAATTTCATTTATTTTCTTCAAAATAAGACAAATTACGAAAAAAGTTGAAAAGCTTCATTGAATACTTAGCATTAACATCCACTAAAGCCTCATGAACTAATAATAATTTGACGTTATTAGTTACTACCGTGAGGCTTGTTACCTTGACAACAAGCTTAAATTAAGCATGACTCGAGCTCGACGAAAGTGGTGAGGAAAGGTATTCTCCCATACCGCGTAATATACCATGACAAATGGCTTGGTAAACCATACCTAAATAATCCCAACCCTTCTTAAGCCAAAAGTGTATCTCTTTATCGATTGTTTGTTTCTGCTCGCACGACCTTTCTGTAATTCAGCTGCTAGACATGCTTTCCTAAATATTCCAGTTTTCTTAGACTCTTTCGGGTGCATTGTTACTGCTCAAACTCTCTATTTCTCTATTGAACACTTTCTTAAACTTCAATGGCCATCCCATCTAAATTCAATCCAAGGGATTCTGATCCTTTAAGGATGTTTGTCTATTGACAGACATCAGAAGGACCTTTAGTTATTCAAGAGATCTATCTCCGTTAGGATAACACTATTACGGCATGTCCAAAATAGATAGTAGGAAAGAAATATTGCCTACTACGTAAACCCAAACAAAAGAAGCAATTAGTTGGGAATTGCCTTTTCTTTGCTTTTGTTTGCTTTCATTAAAGATCATAACTTTTGTCACTTCTTTCACTTGCCTTGCACATTTAGACCCCATGATGAAATCTCTTTGATAGAGTGATCCGTTGTGTCCCTTTGCAAACAATTGCTTTCCCAGGGACTAATGAATCTAGTCACTTTTATTTTCAATGTATTCGTTGCTGTCATTATTTATCACAAGGTCCAGGTTTTTATTGCCTCAATAACTATTTTATTCACATATAAAATCCCATTGATATAAAATGGCAGCATAAAACATATGCCCATCGATTGCTCTATAGTTTTATTTATACTCACTGAAATATTGATGGGCTCTACATCTGAAGTTTATAGATATTCTTTATTGGGGTATTTAATAGATACACACAATAGAATCCATATGTGAATTAATAATACACAAAGCAAATGAAATTCTAGGGATTTTCAATTGGATTTGGAAAATTAAGGAAAAGACTCGATTGGGTATGAAATTGAGTAGGCAATCGTAATACCTGAAGTTATTGAAGTACTATATTCACAAATTAGAATTGTGATTTAGCCAATCAAACGAATTTCTGTAATAATTTATGCCAGCACTAAGTCAAGGCATTTAGATTTGATTGAATATTCGCCTGAAAGATATCTTACAGATAATCGGGTCAAGAAATAGGCAGATAGTACATTCTGTTGTGATTCGAAGATTTCTTGATCACATGGTGCACCATTTTGTTTGAGAATAAAGACTAATTTAGTGTGCTGAAAGGCGCCTTTGAGGGTTTGTGTGTCGACTAGTTCCTTTATTGGCAATCCATATTAGAATAAACTAACAAATCTTTACTATCATTAAAACACAATGCAATAGAATGATAGTAATGGCGATCATTCTCTGCTATCCTAACTTTACTTCACGTTCTCCAGCCCAAGATTTTCAGTGATCTTATTTAGGCACAAACTCCATTTGGAATTAAAATAAACTATCTTTTATAAAACGGAGTGTGGGATAGACTTACCCCCACGTGGTGCTCCCTGGGCAACGTATACTTGTACGGCAAAAAAGTCTATTATTCGGCAATCGACTTCTGACTTCAAAATACCATGGCCCCACTGTATGTCATATTCGGCCGCTTCCATAGTTTTCACCTTGCCTTCTTCTCTACCTTTGTGTCTGCCTGTCATCCGTGAATCACTCTTCTGTTCCCCCTCTAGACTTTTTATAACATTGATGTTCCTACTCCTCTCTGTGAAGCCCGAAGTCAACTAAAGGTCTAATGATAACAATCAAAACGCCTGCGATTTGTAATAAATAAATAAATCTTTTATAAAACATCCCATCTTAATTTATTCAACTTCTCTCATGTGCTCTCATAACCGCCACGTTAAGTGTGGAGTGTAACGGCTTGCCTACTGCTACATCGTGATTATCCAAATAGAAGGTTGTTTTGTTAACAGCATCTAATCTATCTCATTTGTGCTAAACTAATTGAAGCACCCTCACTCATAGTCTTGGGTTTTAAACACCCAAATCAACCTCGAAAAATGGATAATTGCACTCTCCTGCTAGTGAGCAAGGGAGGTTTTAAATTAATTTTAAACTCTTAATTAAATTGACTAATTCATATTTTCTGCAAGACAGATCATATATATACTCGAAAGGTAAGACTCACCAACTTCTCGTTATTCCTTTGACCCCCAAATTTTTTTTTCTTTCAAAATGTCCAAAATTATTTTACCTACTTTAACTCACCTCATAAATTAAGAAATTTGGAGTGATCTACATAATTTTCCAAACTTCGCGGTCTATTGGCGACAATTATTTCCCGGACTTTGTGTTTATAGCCAATTTTATGCCGATATATTCATTAGTGAAAAATTCATGACAAAACTCTTGCTTTTATTACCTCAGTTATTAATTAACTCAGATATAAAATGCCCCATGGATAGCAAATAACTTGAGAAAATATAAACTTATTAATTGTATTATTAGACTATTTTCTGAATCGCAATCAAGGGGCGGGGGGTTATGGAAATCAATAAAATTGCATATTATATAATAAGCTAGACCTTCTGCTTTAGAAGCTTGAAGGGAACTTCGAGAATAAAGAGGAAGTCTTTTGCAAGGAAGATTTCATTGAAATTTATAGACATCTTGTTAAAAATCGCCCCTAAGTAAATTAAGCCGGATTTAAATTAATTTCCTCCATCCTCCATCAAAACCACTTTTACAGTCTCAAAAGCGCATGGAATTCGGTTAGCTTTCAGACTCACAAATTAATTCGTAAATTTGTAGAACAGATCAGTAGATATTATTCTCTTTTTTTAATTGTCATATCGCCTAACAAGGGAAAACACCACCGTATTAATCATAATTTCTTTTATTTGAAAGTTGAAGTTGATATTCTTCGATGTGTTTCAAGCCCACATTTTTTCAGTGGTTCCGTCTGCTTACTTTGGAATAATTATTGCGAAGCCCTGTTAAAAACTTTTGTACTTTGTAGAACATATAAACTTTTTTCATATATCGTCAAATATGGGTGAGAAAGTAGGATGGAACAGATATATATATATATATATATATATATATGTGGACAATTTGAAACGCAAGGAGCTTCAGTGACCTCTTGTGAGAACAAAAAGCTATTTTACATCTAACAGAACCACCATCACTTCTGTACGCATTTGTCCTTTTCCCAAAAGTCCAAACCGAATTGTGTTTCGATATAAGATGTTTATTTCTCTACGTTTCTGCGTTGACCAAATGACGGCTTACATTAATTATCAGCCCTAAAGTATGTCTCTCAAATGTAAGCGAGGGTCGATTTTCAAGCCTTTCAAAATGAAAACAAATGGATATTTTAAACGAATTAGAATGGCTTATTTATCTTGAAAGGAAATCGAATAGATGCAAAAAAAATAATCAAAACCTACCTTTGACACAGGCACGGAGAATGGGATTGAGAAAGAGGCTATTGTCGATCAGTTGCCACAGATCATCACGTGAATATTGGCAGTCAATTTGATTTAGAACAAAAGTGAGCAATTTTGCCGGATCGCGATCATCCCCCGAGAGAATTGATCCTATGGGTGGCAAAGCGGAAACCTCCTCCAGCGTCTAAAAATGTTTAAGGAAGGAAGGCTGAGGGAAGCGGAGTTATTTTTTGCGTGACTTCCAAATTAGTAGATTATCATTATCCGGTTGCGCATAGTTTATAATTCACATAGACATAATTCATTCCTATAGCTTATAGTATAAAAATTCTTGAATACCCATAATTACAGATAAACCAAAACTCATTAAACCTCCGACCATAGGGCAAACTAAGGTTCCATGCCAATTTCCTCGTCTAAAACCCTTGCGAATAATGAGTAGGTAGAACCACTATCAATATAATAAAAAGACTAACAAATGTTTGCGAGGATACAAAATGCATTATTTTCATTCAAAACACTCTAAAAAATCAGCCAATTTTTCTTTTACTCAGATTGGGAGAAGAATTATCGCCATTGACAAGTTAGCACAACTCACGATGTTCAGCAAACCTATAAAATTCACTTTTACCCCGTTTTGTCTTATGCTATATATCTGTAAAGTGAAAAATAGTAGTTGTGGTAATTCCTTACTGCAACCACTCGGGTGGGGGGGGGGGACCACAAATCGAAGTTGAAAACCCTGTCTTCTGAATTAAATGACACCGGTCAATAAGAGACCAGCGTCTGCTCCGATCCAGGGGAGGTGGATAGTAAATTTTGAATCTTGGAAAACGAGGTGTTAATTCGTTTAGTTTACCATTATTGGTTAATTACAAGCTGTGCATTTGTGTGTGTAGGCGTGTGTTACTGTGGGTAATGATAACAACCGCAAAATGGACATTGGTGGACAGGAGACATACTGAAGTCATTATCATGAAAAATTTATAGCCTGCTTTCAGTCTTAGTGATTACAATTAATTAGTGACGTTGGCCATCCAATTAAGAAGTTGAAAATCATTATTGAACATTTAGCAATAACATCCGCCATTAGACTACAAACCATCCTATCTTGGTCTCTCACAAAGTGATGACTAACACATTTTTCCAAAAAATCAAATCAACGTTCTCGTGTGTTACACCCAAATTCAGAGTACTTGGTAAAATCTCCAAACAGATACAAAAATCTGCCTCAAAATCTCCTGTCGTCATATGTATACATCCAGATTGTCTATTCATACGCTTCAACCGATTATTCCATAAATAGAGTCTCAGAACAAGATCCAATTAAATAGTGATTACTACAATTAAATTCATTATCCATGTTATACCTAAGTACACAGAAAAGGTATTTTGTGAAGGCTATTTCCAGTTAATTCTACGTTTATACCTTTGAAACCAGCGAAGAGAGAGGATTTGGATTCACTCGAAGGGGTGAGGAGACACTTTCTTCAACCGACTCCTTTGAAGCAGGAGCATCTAACCCCTCTTCCTCCAGGAGAATAGTCATCCAAGTCATGTGGAACGGCCAGTGTTGAGTTAAATAAATCCAATTCACTAGCTGCTTGATTGATATGTTTGTGGACTTCAATTTGATTAGGCGATCTAAAATATAAAATACGAATTAATTTCAAGCAACTCAATTATACCGTTATTGTAACTGATCTTCTCGTAATACAGACATCTGTATAACTGGGGTGTGCGATAGACTTACCTCCACGTGGGGCATCATGAGCAACGTATACTCATACGGCAAAAAGTCTATAAACCGGCAGTTGACTTCTCACTTCAAACTACCTTGTCCCCACTGCGTGTCATATTCGACCACTTTCACAGTGCTCATCTTACCTTTTCTCTGACTTCTTGTCTGTCTGCCCCTTCTACCTCTGCGGATCACTCCTCTCCCCTCTGTGAAGCCTGAAGTCAGCTAAAGGACTAATAACAACTATCAAAACGCCTGCCATTTGATATAACATATGCATAACCTTTCCTCAACACCGCCTTGACTGTATTCATAAAATAAGGCTCTGAAAATACGCTTAAGATGATAAGTGGAAAAAGCCAGTTGTTTTCAAGTTTACGACCAAATGTAGTTTTTGGATCAAACGACTTAAAGTTATCAGAAAACTCTCACACACCCACCAATTTGTATTTTTTGTCAATCAGCCATAAACAGAAGCTACTACTGATACTATAAAGTGCGAAAAATGTTTCAAAAAATTTACCAGGGTTGTAGTTAGCAATTTGGCAAATACATCTTTATTTTATTATCAATTAAATATTAGCAGTCTATGCGTAGAAAGATTAGATCAAAGTAACAACTCTCACACATGCAATAAATTCTACCAGAGCTTTCAAGCATTCTTATATCGAGCTCCATCTACAACAATGAACTTTTAATGGAAGCGTAGTGTATGTGTGTGCGTGCGTACGTGTGTGATCAAATGTCATTTCATAAAATTAATCTCGAACACTCTCTAATTGCACATTTTCCAGTGTTTTTGCCAAAAGACTAAGGGCGGTCTGACTTCTAATTTGCGTAGCGTAATGCCAACCTTGAAATCAGTTTTGACCTTTTTGTTGGGGGGGGGAGGGGTGGGGGGGGGGGAGGATAAACAATCGATTTTATGAACCCAACTCGATAAAAGAGACGCGGTACAAAAATGAAAATTAGGCAGATAGGCATAAGAAAATGAAATCTCCTTCAAGCAGAAAACGGTAAATATAACAATTCGTGCAGATTTGCGTCACGTTAGGAAATTGTTTTTTTTTCCCTAATTTCGACCCAATCATTTCAAAAACACCCACCCAGTAACACAACTAAGAGACCTTACCAATTAAATCTACGTGCTTGTGGAGGAAGAAATTTATTTTAGAGCTAAATTTAAGAGTCTGGAGAATATGTTACATGTAGATTGTGCTCAGCCTTGTTAAAATTCAGTAAATTATACATTTATTTGTTTCCCTTGCCTCCTCAATGGTCAAGTTTTCCTTGTGGCGTGACTTTATTATCAGTGTTTCATCAACAATTTCCCAGGGTATTCCGATGTTTTGTGTTAACAGCTATCTTGAATCTTACTGGCTTACAGAACCATTTATGCGCATAAAATCCCCCCACATATAAATGCAAGTGTATGTGCGTTTTTACAGTAGTTAATAGACCAGGGTGACAATGGGGATGCTTAATATGGCTTTATGTGCCTATTTGCCTCCCAACAATTCTCACAACTGCACAAAAAACACTTAGGCTTTACTCCACCCTTGCGCAAAAAAACTATTCTACTAGATAATAGAGCTAAGCAAAAATGTGGAATCCTTATAAATGATTCACAATAGATTGTTTATTTATTTTATGCTTTGGATTAAAATTATTTATATTTTTTATCTAAAAGATGATAATACAACGTCAAAAAGTAGATAATGAAAATTACTTCGCTATCACATTTTAAGTTTGTTTTGCTAGAGTACTTGTACTTTAACTTCTATTTTAACCTCTATACAATCTGAAAGGTACACGTTTACGCTGGAAATTTTACTATTGTTCCTTAAGATTCGAGAAATTCTCAATTTAGTCTTTCACAGTTTTCCTAATTTTTATGAAGTCGATTAGAGATTGGTCACATAAAGTGCAAGTAAACGCAACATGATCATTGTTAAACAGAATTTTGTGAATTTACACTAAAATACCCCAAATGACTCCAGGCATTTCTGAGAAAACCTCATCATTATATGAACCTATCTCCCATTTTGTGAACACGAACTTATATTTAGGAATGCGGGGTGTGGGATAGACTTACCTCCTCGTGGTGCACCCTGAACAACGTATACTCATACGGCAAAAAGTCTATAAACCGGCAGTTGACTTCTCGCTTCAAACTGCCATCACCCCACTGTATGTCATATTCCACTACTTCCACAGTACTTACCACACCTTTTTTCTACCTTTTCTACTTTCATCTTTGAAACACTCTTCTGTTCCCCCCCCCCCCTCCCAAAACACATGACCTAGATACCGCCTAACTCCTGGGAGGCACTTGCGAACTTCTAGACTTAACCGTTTTCCAACGAATAGCGCTCAACAAATGCCAAATTCAAGTATGCAGTCGAGTTCGCAGACCCATTATTAAAAAACTCTTTTCAACCATGCGTTCTCCTTTTAATAAGATATCAGGTCTAGCAAAACAACGTACTGAGACATCGCGGCTTGAAAAAAATATTGCCTTTCTCTTGTTTTCAAATGCGCCCCCCCTCCCTCGACGCCCATATAAATCGCTTTAGTTCATCAAGTATGATGACACGTGATTCAATCCAGGCTAGCTATCTCCAGTTCATTGATTAATTTGCTACTATTATTCGAAAAGCTTGCTAGAGGTACACATTTTATAGACTCCTACAGAGCAATAGTTTTATCATCAAGCAATATGTTCTTCCTTCAGTTAAAAATCAATTACCCTTATAGTACTTAGGAGAAAACACGTGAATAGTTGAGTCTTAAATAGAAAGTTTGCAAAAAACTAGACCGTCGGAAGTTGAAACTCTTATCATTTGCAAAAAAAACAATGAATTTTATGCTCACAACCAGAGAAAAACGCCCATTGCAAACCTAAGCACCAATGCGTACAACGAATAAAAGGTCAGAAATGGGGAGAGAGGAAACTCAATTCCGGTTTCTAGCTGTGTATTGAAAATGAGCAAACATGGAAGTTATCGATAATTGCTTGGAATGGTAAGAGTAAAACTACAAGGTTTCTATATGCTGATTGGATCAAACAAATGTATGTTTTAAACCTGAAGAGTCATTGAAACGGTCTCTTTTCCTGATTTTATTTACAACACTAATGCATTTAGCAAATTTTCCAATTTCTAAGTATGACATTGTAACAGGTCTAATTGAAGGCTCAGATGAGGTATGAGAAAATTAAGTAGCCCATACAATACCCTTTTCACTAATAATTACTTTTTATTATCAGCGGTTGTTTGTTTTTTATCAGTGTTATTTGCCACGAGAAGGTGGTCTATAGTTCTCTCTATAGATCTTAGCTCTTTATAGTGTTAATTACAACTGGTTAGATGGATAAATTGAACACACTTGAGGACAAAGGACCAACTCAGATCAATATGTCTCAAAATGAATTTTATCATGGGCTCTGGGATTGAGCGCTGTGTCACCACAATTTTTCCTAATTCGGTTTAATGATTATGAGCAAATTTAATGATTCTTAGCGCAAATCACTTTTAATGATTTTGCCAAGTAACAATTGGTTGAAATTGGAATATAGCCGAATCATGCTCCGTGTAAAAATGAAACATGCACTGGATGTACAACGCAGAGACAGTTTTAGCTGGAAATTGAAAGCGATTACTTTTATTGTAAGCTGATTAAAAAGAAGATAGGCAAGATTATCGCCAGGTCTGACTCTTCTACCGCAGCACTCCAATATTCGATAATCGAACACTAATTAAACGGATAATCACTGAATACCAAACTACCTCGTTGTGTCCCTTTTTCGGATTTGGAGTACGCGGTCGTATTGTAAGTGAAAACAAATACAAACCTACTTTGAGTCATTTCTGAGCCCGTCTTTTCGTTCCCGCTCCCTCCCCCCCCCCACCTTCCACCCCATTGCATTAGTATTTAGCACCTGGATTACTTTACATGAATTAAATTACTTGAAGCATAATTGCATTGAATTTTCCCGTTGATTTATCAATATAAACAAAGTACTCACATATATACTGACTTCCTTCAGTTATAACAGGCTAAAAACAGAAATTTTCACTTATAATAAAGCCTATAAATGTAAGTTCAAAAACGTTTCAAGTGCCTTAACTTTATTTTCTCTCAAATTGCTTAGTGAATCAATTTTTTTTTCAAAGGTGTACGAATTCAATTAGGCAAAGTTAATTGGCTGAATCAGAGACACCGCAAATACATTGCAAGGGGCGTTCGCAATTCGTTTGAGCAAGTGACTATTTACTCAAATCGGTGTGAAATGCCACGGAAAAGTTTTCTATTTGCTCGCGTGCGAACGAGGTGAGTTGAGCTAAGCAATGAGAGCGTGTGGGGAGGGGGGGGGGGAAGAGCAGGTGGATTGAGGGGTGGTAGTAGGGTGGAGAAAACGGTTGATCCATATTGAGGTTGAGGGGTCACAATGAGCGTGGGAAACATAGGATTTAGGGGAAATTTCTTTTCTCTATTACTATTGGCATTAGGTAAAAAAGAAACACTGCCCATTCTCATAGGCAGTGGTCCTCAAATACCTTTTGCGTATGTATTGATGCGATAAGGATCAGCAGAGTTGTCATTCCAGCCTATTTATATTAAAAATTACGCCTACTATTTAATATGCGCGTTTGGTTTACTAGAAAGTCAACACTCTAATAAGAAATTTTAATGCTAGGTTTATAACCAAAGGAATAATTCTGAAAAGTACCGCTTATTACGGCCAATTTCCAAAGTTACCAACCTTCTAAGAGAGGAGTAATTAATTTGACTGGTCTTTCTGATTATTGCTTGAGAACATACTGGTTGCAAATATACAATGATGATCTTTTCAGGGATCAAAGACCCAGTGAGAGTTAGGGATTTCCAGTCCAGGCGGTCACTTTGCAAACCTGAAGCGATTTACTTCCAATCAATTTACTAGTTGGCCATATTTTATTCATATGAATAATAGTTCTTAAAAAATGCAATTTTTGTAACCTTGCGAGATAAAATCCAGATTCCAAATAATGTTAACTCCAGTCTTTGATGTTATTATCCACCTCCATTGAAACCGGAAAAGAAATTCATCAAAGAAACCGTTTACTTTACTCACGAAAATTTAATAAGTATGGTTATTGAGTTGAACTGCAGTCTAATAACAAATAGATGGTAGTATTATTCAGGTTAACTTTCACGGTGCCAAGATTTGGGTGTATCCACAAGCTGATAGGGGTATCAAGCGAAATGGATAGTGTCTTTGGGAGTTGGGACTTATTCATCCCAATTAGGTGAAAGCTATACTCCAGCAACGCTTACTGAATATATCTTCTGAAAAAGCTGATATGATTAATCTCATGTAAATCAAACAAACCTAGGAGTATTTTAAGCATTACATACAAAAAATATGTTGCAAATATTTTGTATGCTGAGCTAATAGCAAAGTAATTCCTTAACTCCACAAAACGCCAAAAAATAATAGAAGAACTGGACACGACTAATTATAGAAATGAGTTTATTACTCTGTGTCAGTCAAAAACTAATTCAGTCAATTCAACAGGGAGGTAATAAACTTTCATTGCAATATACATAGACGGAACTCTAAGTTGTGACCATTAGCCCATTTTTTTCGCATTCTCTATGGGAAGTGCAACTATTTGAATGTTAATGACGCAATACTAAGATAAGTCTCCCAGCATTGATCTTGATGCTGTACGCCTCTGGGGAACTGTCATCTAACTCAGTGCATCTTGCAATTGCTAAGGGAGAAATGCCCTTCAGCATACCCTATTGTTCTACAAATACAATTTTGTTTCTTGATGACTTCCGCAGAACTTTCATTGCAAATTTACGCAGAGATGATGCAGTCAATCTTGAAATAAAATTATTTGCTTATTGTATTTGTGCATCTGCCGAATTACAATTCCGTGTGTGTATTTAAATAAAATTTCGTTTAATTTTGAAATAGGCCCTCTGAAAGAGATCGATGATTATTACCCTTGATTGTTTAAGGCCAATTAATTAAGCTATTTTCTTAGGATAAAATTTTAAAAAAAGGTTTAATGATTTTCTCTTTAAGATATGTACATTAGTTTAACCGAAAAATATTGGTTTGTATATTTTGTTGAGCACATTTTTATCAATTTATCTTCAGTGTTCAATAATTTAATGCGTCCGAATTTTAACAGGTGTTATTATCTAATACTGAAGTAAACACATTTTATGAGGGCAAAATTGGCGGAAATTTTTAGGTTATCATTGAAGGGTAACAACTTATAATTATATTAATTGAGACGATTTATAGCCGCAGATTATTGATAAATTTGCTAAAGATGGTTCACAGGGAAATCACTCTAGACCATGAAAGTTTAAAATATTACCTTTTGCCTACCTAAGAATTCATATACACTTTTAAGTAAATGTTGATACATAATAATTACAATGAATTAAAGACTCAAATCGATTTAGTGTTCCTTAGAAAGCAAAGGAATTCCCCGACTTAGAAAAAAATTTAAATTTCTCTAAATGTTAACTTAAATGCACGATGCCAACTTAAAATTCTTAATATGAGAATAGGAAATTGCAACAATTCCTCTAAAAGAATTGGAACTATAATTTTGTCCAAACTGGAATTTAATTAGCTAATGTATTCTCCAATTGAAATGGTTAAGAAAGTGGAAAAAAATTGCATTACATAAATAAAGCGATTTGAATCTCCTGAGCAACATTTTCAAAAAAAACCAATTTTTGCATTAGTCACTTACTAGTGAAGGCAGTTTCAGCTACTAGAGAGCGTATGACAGGTACATTTTGTTCAGCAATTTCCTCACTGGCAAGGAAGATTTCAGCAATGCCTTTCGCTGCGGCCTTTATTGTGGTCATCCTTGAATTATTAACGCTTTTCACAACAGTTGAAGGAGCACTGCTATTGCTTGCCTGTTGTGTTTGTTGGTTTTGAGCGTTCAAACTTGTGTTCGACGTGGCGGATTTCATAACGGAGTTCGGCTCGCTGATTGCTTCTCGAGGAGTGGCTCCTAATTCCTAGTCAAAACAAAGGATCAAAATGCCTCACTTAAATGCTAACTGATCAATAATAAGTGATGCAATTATAAATCGATCCAGTTGACAGTTACCATCTCAGGCAAGTCATTCTTATTGACCACTCCTCAGGTACTAATCGATGAAATTGATAAAAATTTCAATGCAATTTATGTGATTCGAATGAAAAAATGGAAATTTTGAAATAGCTCATTCGTAAAGCGGTCATTTCTGGTAAAGTCGGAAAGTGACGATAAAAATAGTATACTTGATCACAGGACCTATTACTGTAATGTCTGCTGAATATGGAAGCTTTACCATAAACTCACAAAAATTATTATTATGAAATATGCACTCTCGGAATTTCAGAATATATTATACTTAATCTCGAAGGTAATCACATAGATCAAACTGGAAACTTAAATGCTGTTTTATTTTGACGCGAATCAAAACTGGAGCTTGCAAACTCACCTCCCTCTCCCTCTCAGATGGACCCATAGTGAGCATTCTGGATTCAATGGGCGAATGATTTCCGACCATCTTTATTAGTCTATTTTGGGATAGATATATTCAATCTTCGTTTCAAGAAAACATTGTGTCTGAGTTATTCCTTCAATCTTTATCTTGAATTGTGGACCAAAATAAATGACGATTTATTTTCATTTTTGTGTGCTGGAATGATTTGATACTTCAGAGAAAATGCCAAGGTGATATCAACGCGCGTAATTCTATTTGCGTAGCTATTTTCCTAATCAAATTCAGTGTAAGTCCGATGATGGAGAAATACACACAACTTCCCTCAAGTAAAATTTACTTAATACAAAACAACCGAGTCCTCTCATTGGTCAAATTTCTTACACCAAATTATCAGATCCAATCGCTGATAATAATGAACTTTAACATTTATTTAAGGGATATGCGCAAACGAATACTAATCGAATAACTACAGTGTGGTCGAGATGAGGGATGGTGTGTCCTCCATCACACTGAGAATGAGATTGAGCTCTTGCGCGGGGTCACGAATTATACTCACTTTTCTTTCTGTAATCTCTTTTCTCTTGGCCATCCTGTATGCACTGATCAAAAGTATATGAAAGTAATGCAATTATAGGTCCATTGAGGACGAGATTTCTATCCGTGAAACATCATCGTCTTTATGTCCTGTTAGCTTGAAATCTTGCTCTGCAACAGCAAGCTTGCAAAATAGAAATTACTCACACGCCCACTCCTTTTATGCATTGCACTTTCGAAAGTGAACTTTTATCCAATTATTCCAACTCATGGTTGATCAAATAATTGAAGAGAAAATGCGTCTACGAATAAACATTTCTCTATTTAATATAATAATTCGAAGTTTTCAACGTATGTTAACCTCAGAAAAGTTGCTGCTTTTTCCGAAGTACTGAAGTTTTAGACAATGCATTCTACTGCCCACTCGTATCTATTATTATAACATCTAAAATGGTATTCTTCATTTCTCCTAGGGAGACATATCCGATTGAAAAGGAAGACCACTTTTTGTTGAACACCTAGGTACTGCTTGTATGATATTCTTCAATTTTCGCCCGATTTAAGTGATCGACCTTTTCGTTTAGTCAGTGAGTACTCAACGTTTTCTTTTAACTGGACTAATTGGACGATTTCAATTTGCTGGTTTTTCTTGCATTTTGAGACTACAATTCATAAATTTTATTATTATTAATATGTTTTGATTATCCGATAAATATGATAAAGTTTTAATAAAGCATAGTCATTCCAATGCAATTGTCTCAAGGACAAGGCAATAAGATAAGGAGTTAGTCTCCAACTCTGAAAACCAATTGCTGTAAAGGGGAGAAGTTGAGGTGGACGTGAAAAAACTGTTCTTCCTACCTTCTTCTCCTTTTCTAAAATTTGTTCATTTGATTGTGGTGGAGGATGAAAGAAACTGCCTTTGCACATGCCCGGCGCATCAGGTTTGGCATACTTAACTCTAGATCCACGCCCCCAAATTCTTTTCTCTCCCCCCCCCCATCATTTTAATTATTTAAACAGTCTAAATTAGTTTAGGCTGGCTTACTTTGAGATCTAGGGGTGCTTTTCGTTTTTAATTTGGTCAATGTTGCTACCGTATGTGAGAATCATATTGAAATTAGCATTATGTACTCTCAACCACTTGAAGATGACTTGGAGTCACAAGCTAATTCAGCGAGTTTATGCATTTGCGTAAACAGTGAGGGAACAGTAGAGCTTTCCTTTCCCCTATTTCTGAATAGAGATTATTCATTTTTACTAACACCCCCAGGTTATTACTCATTTCAGATACTTTTCTTCTACTATTGTCAACTTTTCAGAGAACTGCTCGAAAGCTTCACGGTATTCATTCTCAAGCAAATTTAGAAAAGGATTTTCAGGTCACGCCTTGGGTTGAGAGTAGCAATTCGGTGCCCCAATATACCAGTCAAACGTAACTAGTGTGAAAATCTATTCCGCTCTTTGGGACAAGTGGATGGGAATCGAATCCCCTGACATCCAACGAAACGATATTTGTGTGACTGGAATGGAGCGTTTCCTTCTTTCATTCATTCTTATTTAATTTTTCACCTTATATTCAACTTCTATCTTTCTAATTTGCAATCTTCTTTTAACATTTATAATGTTCCCAATTTTGTGACGGAATACAGCATTAATTCCTTTTTTCCAGATTAGAAGTATAGCTTCACCCAACCACGAAGTTCATTTTGTATAAAAGTTGAATATACGGAAGAATAAAATGGTTAAATGGCACGATTTTAAGGATTTATTAATTCCGAAACTTGTTTGGAGTTATTTCTCAACCCCTCATATTTTACTTAACTGTGTCAATTTTGTTTTCCTCAGAATATGCGGCATTCTGACACTTCCTTCCTTCCTTTGAGAGCTAAAGAGCTAAATTTGGACACACACAGAAAATCATCACATTTTGACTTGAACAACAGGATCTACAGCAAGACTTTGAAATATATATGTGACGAGGTACGTCAAAACGCGTGTAAAGAGACAAGCAGGTAAAAGACCACCTGCAAGTGTAAATGAGAGGAGTTTCACTCTTTTAAATGCTATCCTTTTAGCCAAATAAAATTGTGCGATCTCAGTCTTAATTTCCAGTCCAGACGCAGAAAATAGAACACATTTTACTCCACATTTAATACTGGGCATTATCTTCTTCTATTTGTAAACAAAAATATTGTGCCTATTAGTATGAAACTAGGGCTTGAAATTGATTGGATATTTGATTAGTGATTCGGAGAATCCATTGCTAGGACAGGAGCACGGTACAGCATGAGGCGAAAAAAATGAATTGCATTATTCACAGTATTTTTTAAGAGTTCTAATCTGGGGAACGAAAATATTCGAACCTGCTTCATAGAAGGATTTATCATTCAAAACCACTGTTCCCCACTTTGAGTGGCCTTACTTACATTATGAACTTTTAAAATCAATCACCATAGATAGTTTAATGTCTTTAAAAGCACTAGCAAAGATACTCCCACATCATCCATACAGGCATTAGGAAAAAATGTATTCTGTTTTTCAATAATATGCTAGTTAAAACTTAATTTAGTAATTAGTATGAGTGGTCGATAGAAAACAAGCCTTAAATTAGCTGTTATTTGGGTTAAATTTCAAACTTAGTAGACGTTTATATCTTAGTTTAAATTGCTTCTTGCCTCTGCTGATGTGAAGGCTTGATTTATTTGACCCGCAGTACTTCCAACACTAGTTTTTGAGCGAGCTCTTCGAAGCGGCTCTCCATTTGTCTCCTCTAGTCCTATTGAGGAAAAATTTGGTGTAACAGGGGTGGTATTCGACGAGTTCTGAAATAGTGTGACAAGATTGCTAGCTCCTGGTAGTCGCTTGATTGCGGAAGAGTCAGCTTTCACGGTTTTGGAATCCAAGAAGATAGGGAGCTGAATGCTGAATAGTACCAAATGATTGCAATCACTGATACTTCGTAGGAGATTGAGAGCTTCAATGGACTCACTAGCTCGACTCTCTTGGAAGACTGTGTCGTTTGGATTGGGAGTACATGAAGGCTTTTCGTAAAAGGCCTGAAAGAAATAATAAAATTATTTGTTAATTCGCATCGCCCTTAATGATTTTCAGACGAAAAGGTCTCTAATAATCTTTGAATATGCTAACGCATCAAGGCCTTTGGAATAGAAATGGCTTAAGGATAGGCACTGCTAAAGATAAATGTAACACCACAGAAATTAATAATCCTCTCCTTCTCTCCTGTTGAATTTTACTAACAACAATGAGGTCAATTGAAATGAACACAAATGAACTGAATGTTCAATATACTAAACTGATGAATATTGTAATTTTTTGGAGGGTGAGGGGGGAGGGGACGATGTACCACTATCGTAGTGTATTCCATTTATTTTGTACCGAAAACAAAGCCAAAGGCCGACAGAATTAGAATGTTGAAATCATGATATGGTATTGTACCACATACTTAGCCATTCTTAGACAAGGCGAATTGTGCACGATGGACAACTCATGTTTTCGGATATCCGATTTCCATATCGAATCAGTTATAACTGACACAAGATGAAATGAAATGGGGTCTTTGGGGTTCGATAAGTAGTTTCCAATAAGTTTCAGTTAATAAAAGTTGAAAGTGAATAAGAAAACATAAATTTGGAATTAGCGCATTCAGACTCCTTGAGGAATATTAGAAATCGATAATTAAATTTACCACGCTGAATCACCAACTAAAATAAATATATACCTTACGCGTTTTTTGGCCTATTGTTTCAATTTTTATTTGTCTTTTGTGATGAATTTATAGGTAGAATTTACTAAAGCGGCACTTTTAATTTGTAAAGTTGTAGAGTGGGATGTATTTTTTCTTATGTAAGAAACTAATCAGCTTAATGCTTGACCACAAAAAGCAGGTGGATTTAGACTGTTTTCTCCTTAGGAAAAAAGTTCATTTTTTGCCAGGTTAGTTTTATCGACAGTGTTAAAGCATAGTTTCAAAACAACCTCTTTTGTAATTAGAGAAGTTGGTTACTTTTATAGGAAAACTTAACATTTTAGTCTATATTACTATCGAGCAAAAATTAAGGAAAAATTTGCAATGCGTCAAATTGGAAAAAACCACATGAGCGCATTTTTTTCTTCTTACATCAATAACCGCTTAATGCGAATTGGCTTATTTGTTAGCTTTAGAAGATTAAAACCGTTTTAAATATTGGATGGTCTTAAAGCAAATCCAAATAAGGAAAAACAGACGTTTAAATATTCAAAAAAGAGCCAAATTACCGCCATGTAACAAGTATTCGAAATGTATCCGTTTCTGGGCCGGTTCTATAACTTATTTTTTTTATCGGCGTTAGAAGATGCAGTCGTCAGATGTTTATTTTGCCAATCATGCTATTAGTAATAAAATTGCTTGACCTTTATATTAGCAACATATTTTCAAATTATTTTTCTAACTTTGTACTGTCATACATCTGCATACATCGATAAATAACGTATTTTCCATAGTATGATTACTAATTGTAAGAGACATTAATGAAAGTTACTTCTTTCCTGAATGTCAAGCAATTGTTTACAATCAACCACATATATACGGGCTAAATGATGACATGAAGAGATAATTAACTCACGGCAAGATTAGTAGCAATGACAACAGCGACAGGCGCATTTGGTTGAGTGAGCAAAAGACTGTGAACCTGATAGAAGACTCCGGCTAACTGGGTAGGTGAAGTGATATCTGTGGCATCTATCATGACCACTAGCCTAGTCTGTTCCATCCCCTGAAGGTAGAAGTTGAAGGCATGTATCATTTCACAGATATTAGCAAACTCTTTCTTGGCCAGAATATCCACTTCACAGGAAGAAGTGACTGGTAGAACATCAGCCACCTCCAGACTACTTTGAAAGCAATTCCCATTTGGTTTTGTTCCATCACTTTCACTATTAATCCTCGCAGTTAGAGTATCCATCAAGTGGAATTTCTTTTTATGTTTTCCGGGTAGGCGACCTCCACTTGTAGAGTACATTTCAATGGCTTTGTCTAGGGGAGTTTTGGGTCGATAGAGGTAGACAAATACAGCGTTGACAACGGAGGGCACTGAAGCACAGAATCCAAGGAAGATTATTGAGCTCATTACCACAAAAATTGGCAGCACTCGCATGTCAAGGAGCATCTCCATAGGGTTAAAGTCGAATATTCGCAGTAAAAGGAGGTCTATTAATATTGAGACAGTGAGGAGAATTACTACCACGAAGGCAGGTAGGCAGCATATTCGCTTATAGGCTCGTTTGGTTGACACTGAAATTTAATTAGAGAAAATTCAACAAGATAAATTTGAAATCTAAGAAGCAGTAGTTTTGAAACCCAACTCAAAAATTTATTAACTCTTGCTCTTTATAAGGCATACGAATATTGGACTGTCAAAATAATGCTTTCCGATGAAGATGATTATTCCTATCTGTGGAAGGCAATCAATCAATAATACTTAAATGGCGGGGTATATACTTAGGTTTTGTGTTTCCCTCTTCGTTTGCTAGTCGCCTAGCATGCCAATCGCCTGTTCATTTGCATATTTTCATTTTCAGTGATCCCAACCTGTCAATTATCAATAAAGTTTGTTGTGCTCTATATGAATGTTATACTTACTCCGTTGTTTTAGAGTTAGAGGGCGGTTATCGAACAAAATCAATGTGCGTTTCGAAGTTATCAAACGATAAATTAATTTACACATAGCTTCAATAAGTCTCTTGATTGCTGAAATATGATATATGTGTCGGTTGCGCTGGAGTCAATGTTTTCGTCAGTAAAGTTAGTGATGATGCGCTCGATGTTCATCAACGCTCACCAAGTGATGGTAACTGTCAATCGCACTGGTTGCAGGACTGGAGTTTCTCACCAGAGTCTCCATAGTAGACCAGAGCTTTACTCAAGATGATGACTGAAAACGCTTTTTGAGATAGACGACGAAATATATCTTATTCAACATACTTGTTTACTACAGCCAGTCAATCAATATTAGAAATCTTTGAGTTAAAATTTTAAATGCATATTTCTATGTTCTCTTATATTAAATTTATAATTACCGACAGCCATTTGACTGAGTTTTGAGGTTCTCCAGGCATGACTTATTTGCTCACAGCTTAGAAGAAGATTACAGCTACTATTAGCTCAAACCATATTCATGGTATTCTTGAAGATAACTTTAAGAAGAATCACAAATTCATCTCTTAATTCTGTTGGACCTATGTAACCAAAAAAATGGGTCTTTCCTCAGGTAATTGGCAGAAATGTCATTATGTTGGCGCACGCGACATAGGGAAGATAATGTCACTTACGTGGTAAGGTACTCGTATGCATAAATCGCTGAAGTCGAACCACTATGGGATTGTACTGACGTTCCATCGCTAGCCACATAAGTTGAATGAGTGTCAGAACTAGGTGAGGTGTGTTAGGGGACTGGGAAAGACGATAGCTGATAGTCTGGAGCCTAGAGAAGACAAAAGCATAATTTTATAGATTCAACTTTGTTATTCATCACATTGTTGTAAATTTTTGGTTCTAATTCTCTAGTATCTATTCGAGGAAACATTTTTGCAGTTTGATGAGATGAAATGAACAACGTCAAATACTAGCCATTAGGATTTCATTAACTTTAATTCTACTAAGTTGAGTTTTATGACTATGTCTATGTATGTAATGAAATTCGAAACACTAAATGTTTATTTTATTTGATCAATAATACACTTCAACCTTGTGCCAAAACTTTTATTATGTTTGCGTACTGATAATAGCTTGTTATCGTTGCAATCATCTGTCCGTGAATTTTATGTCTCTTTCGCTGAAACAAACTTTTCCAAGAAAGAACAATAGCTGATGACGGAAAAGGTCTTTTATGTATCATTTGACATCGTCAATTGTCCAACTTATTTATTGTCATCTATTTGTGCATGTGTAGGTGTGTGGAAACGAAGGACATATTATTTAAATTTGACCTTCATTAATTTTTGATAATGCTGTTGCTATGCAACGAAATTTTTGCATCAATTTGCCAAAATCACTTTCGTAAAAATATGTTATGGACTCCAGATCTTTACTCCTATGCGGGAACACTTGTGGTGGGTTATTATGAAATCTGCCGATTTGATCGTCCAGTGAATTTTGTAATCGGGAGTTTGATGTCTAATGATGCACGCCCTCTAAACGGACTAGGGAACCGCACTGACTAAAGAAGGCTAATTTATAGTGAAGCAAACGCTGTATTTTCCACAAAGGACGAATGCTACCATTTCATATATAGGAATAATCGATAACCCTTCAATATCATAGGATTTATTCTAATAAACCTTCTTGAACTTATTATATTGTCATCTGAATGATGTATTCATGAGAATCATTGTCCATTTTGACTAATGTTAAAACGCTTCGGATTAATGCATTGATTAAATTAGCAAATTTGCTAAATAAGGCCACAAATTCAGATATCTTTGGGTATCTATACCAGTTGGGATGATTGACTTCACTAGCAAGTCGACCTTTGTAAACACAGTTTGGAGGCTGTGTTTGTAGAATATTAACAGATGACTAATGTAGACTGCAATAATCTGATTGATTCACCAAAAATGAAGCAGTATCCACTGATTATGAAATGATTGACAATTCGATGAATGAAACCAGGGGTGCGCGATAGACTTACCTCCACGTGGTGCACCCTGGACAACGTACCTTCGTACGGCAAAAAAGTCTATCACTCTGCATTTGATTTGACTTCTATCTATTATGATTAGCTTGAAACAAGGCTATAAGAGTTTAGACTACGTACCGGACACGATTGCTTGGCAAAACACCTTCACAGATTGGGAGTATACACTCGATTCACATGCCCCCTATGTAACCTACAGGAGGGAATGGAGAAGACCCACCTGATTCGGTGCCCAGCTCTAAAGACAATGACGGAATGCCAGAGATACTGGGAAGCAAGAAGACAGCAAAGGAACTGCTTTTAATTAACTGCTAAAAATATACCCCTAATGAATTGCTATTAATTAACTGCTATAAATGTACCAGAATTGCTATTAATTAACTGCTATAAATGTACCCCCTCCATGAATTGTATGTACCCCACCCCCTCTTGGGGGAAGCTGAAGTCAAAGTTTAAGGGCTAATGATAGAATGAACTGCTATTAATTAACTGCTATATATGCACCCCCCACCCCTGGGGGAAGCTAACTGCTAAAAATATACCCCCCCCACTCTTGGGGGAAACTGAAGTCAAAGTTTAAGGGCTAATGATAAATATCATAAAGCCTGCCATTTGAAATGCATAAATGTATGAAACCATCCATACTTTTCAACGAATAGCACAACTCAGATGTGTTATCCAATTATGATTTACATCAAGGCAAAATGCTTTCGTGATGGGAGAGCGAATGGAATCAGTTGGAACTAAAGTTCCTTAAAGGGATACTTTGGATAGAATCGAAAAGTTGTTGAGGGCCTACAAAATTCTTGGTTTTTTTTGTTTCAGTTCGTGTTCACTGTTTCAATCTCATAACCTCAAATTTCATTTATCATACACTGGATTGCATACTGTTTCGTTTCTACATAGCTCGATTCCTGTTTTTAGTGATTAAATTGGCCATTTCTTCAAATTGAATAATTTGAGAAAGCAACGTAGGCATTTATGTTCTTAGCCTCTTGACTATCAGTAAACTTTATCATTAAACACATTAGGTCATTATTTCACCAAATTAGATTAATTAAATCTCAGTAAGGAAACTCATTAGCTGCTTTAAGAGGCAAATGATGATAACGATTTGCTAGTTTTTGGTTTCTCTTTTGATCAATCTACAAATTAATAAACAGTCACTTGGGCAGAGAACTGGATAGACTTTAAAACAGCGATTTCCCCCCCCCCCCCCCCCCCCCCACCTCATCCCTCCTGTCGCATTCCTGCGTAATCTTTGTGAATATCTTCTTCTCCAAGCAATCCTTTGCTGTTAGATGCTTGGTTAAATAGGGAGAAAGAGGTGGAGAGAAAATTTTCTTCGGTAAAAAAGGAAAACTGCTCCTCTAATGGTAAATATCGCATGACGAGAGAAATTTGCGCTCTGTCAGAGGGAAGATACTGATAAGATCTCTCATTTATTTCACTGCCTCTCTCCCACTATCCACCTCACTCACTAACTCGTTGGCCGAGATATCCGCTTAATATTGACAGTTGAAAATATAAAAAAATCTCGTCAGAGTGGAGTGGTGTTATTTAAAGATGGAAGAAGGTGAACGGAAATAATGATAATTATCTTTCCATATCAAAGGCAATCTGAGTAACATCTTCAGTTGTCAATGAATGACCAATTACGCCTTAAATCAGCAATTCTATCTCAAGTTTTATCAAGAGACCCCTTTATTTATCTGATAAAATGAATAGTAACCAACCCTAGGGTTTAACTAAGGTTGCTTATTGATTTTACCAAGGTATCAGGCGAAAATGTTATCTGTGAATTACTTGTATCTCGACCTTCAGAATGTTTATTGATCTCTGCTCGTTATCAACTGCTGTTTTATACAGTGTTATAGCCCATAGAAAGTTGAAAAAGCCTGGCTACTACCATGAGAACTCAAGGGAGAGTAAATCAGTCGATTTTTTTTGTGAGATGAGAATTGGAGCTGTGGATTCAGGTCGAATACTTTTTTCACTTCTTGGATATTCTAGGCATCCCTCGATCTCTCCCTTTTAAGATACTTTGTTATTTTCAAGTCCATGAATGAAAAAAATAGTTTGTAGTGTCAAGACCAGCCATTATAACTAAGCAGAACTCAAAAAATCTGCAAATAGTGGGGATGGAAATGAACCCTGTAGTCCATAGGGAAAACCATTAAATATGAACTTTGCAAAGCAAGATATTGTCCAATCTTAAATCGAAAACAAATTACTTATGGTTATAATTAAATGACTTTGCTCTCAACAGCCTCTCGATTCCAACTCTCTCACATTTTCAACTCTGCTGGGGCTTATAACTCTACAAACTCTAAGGCTTTGTCTTCCGTTTCGTATTAGAGTAGCCGAATGTCCATATTTCTCGATATATTTCTTGGTCATAGCATTCAGATCTTGTTGTTCAGTGCATTAGTGCGGATGGCTTGTCAAAAGCCGATTAAGATCCATGCTTTTTCAACGAATAAGGTAGGTACGGGCAGGACGATAATGCGATGTATAGGAGTATTGACGCTAATTCAATACATTATTAACATACTATTGACATTGCGTATATTTCGTTTGTACTGAACTTGTATCTACTAAAATGTATTTTCTCAACACCGTTGTATTGGTCATATTGATTTTATGTAATTTATATATGCATGGTATATTTTTTTGTCCAAAAAGAGCGTATATGTTAATGCCTTCAAATGGTCTTTTCTATTTTAGGAATCAAAATTTGTCCCCCCCCCCACCAAAAAATGTATGTAGCTTTTACCATTATGTCTGTTTTATTCCAAAACTTAGAGGTCTTGAAAGGCTGAAATTTTAGTAGTCGTTGGGGCAGCTTTTGCCTAGCCCTGTAATTAAATCGTTTGAATTGTCTTCATAAATGGCTACATACGTGAGTAATACTAGCGAGTCCTCCTCCTCCTCCTGCTCCTCCTCCTCCTCCTCCTCCTCTTGCCCATAAAACTCTAACCCTAATAATAAAAGAGTGTGTATTTTTAATTTAAATTTTTCGAGAAAAAAAAACCAACAGTTGTTTAAAGATGGACAAAATCTCTAAGTTTGCATACCTTTTCTGAGTTAAATCAGAGGCATAATCACTCATTTTTAACTCGAGTCAACCTCGAAACCTCACTATGACAATGGGAGCAGATATTGTCAAGTGAACTTAAAAGGTGGCTTTTTCTTCAATTTAAGCTGGTGTTAGTAGCTTGAGGCTAGCTTCGACTTGATGGGCTCTATCTGACAAAAAAATCTTTAAATGACTGTCATACTGGTACTCTTTAAATTCGTCAAACGCTTAAGGTTAGAAAGCATATGTTATCCAGAGTACGTAGGGAGTTTCTAGTCCCAAAATACTCACTGGCGACAAAATTACGCCCTTCTAAAAGAGGGTGGACAGTTGAATCTTAGTGTAAAAGGACTTTACGAAAATATCTACTTATATTAAATAATTAACGTGAGTCACCCTCTTTACATCCGTTTATGCTGATATGCGTGAGCTCTAATGAACTTCAGTGCCTTCTTTAAAAGTAAATCATGTAAGACAGCTCATCAGTTTCAGACAATGGAACGGACATATTAGGCTAGTGGAAAACTAATCAGGAGTAGGAGGGCTTTTAACCTCTAACACTCACAAAATTTATTCATATATATGCTTGAAAATGAAAAATTTCCCTTTTAACTTTTTTTCTTATAATTTGGAATTCTGTGAGTACTAGGCGGAGACCTGTTCATGTGCTGTTGTTGTTAATTAAATTTGACTCACTTCACAGGATTCAAGGAGTTGAACTTCCGCCTGGGATAGTAAAAGAGGAACTTGGTGAAAAGTGTAATTTGTCGGGCGAAGGCAGACAGTGTGAGACTTGCATTCCACGCAACTCGTAAGTTGAAGCACTTCTTGCCAATTGCTATGGATACTTGAAAAAAAATTGTAACTTACAATTAAAGGAAAATAAAAGTTAACATAATGAGATAAATTTTTGTTGTCAATAGTGATGATCTTAAAATCGTCAAAAATATAATTTGTTTTCACGATCTATAAAGAGATTGCGCCTTAGATACAGTTGTGCTTAGTATTACCATGGTAACACAAATGTATCCCAAGTAGATTTCATTTTATCCATAGTCAGTCCCAGTAGTATTTAGCTGGAGCGCCAGGTACATTGTCCTAGCTCACGTGAGGATTGCTTAATTATGAAAAAAAAATCATAAACGTTATGTATATATGGCAATTTGTGCGTCTAAAAACGTGGTGATTCATTTTATGCGAATTAGATGAACATCAATGATTGGAAGTGCGGGGTGAAGAAAATGAACGCATTTGAGTGAAATTCGTGAGCATCGGACACTTCTTGATCGATCTGAATGCACACACCAGTTAATCATCAGTCTGTTCACTGTAACGGGTGGAGTGACAAAAGACTTTGCAAAGACCTGAACACCGTTATCTAATTGAGCCATGCATTTAGTTCATTGGTTATAAAAGTCATATTCAACTCCTTCATCTTCTCTGCCTATCCCGCCACCATTTCAGAGATATAATTATGGAGCTGACCCCTTTATGTTCGCTTGTGGTGCACGTTTATTTGCAATTATCAATCTACGCCTGAGCCCATACAAGTAGAAGGACAATGGGTTAGCAATTTTCTCTTCCATTACGGCTCTCCAAGCATAAAGAAATCACTGAGAAATGGGTGTAAAAACTGATCACAGCTATTGTATGGATAAAAAAGTAATGAATAGGCATGAAACAATGTTGTCATGCCATTTTGAATGCTTCAGTTCTCCTTTAGGGCAAATCGTTTATTTTGTTATCTCTTTCATTTAGTTTTAATGCATCAGCATTGGAATTCATAATCAATGATAAGATTGATTAGGTACCACCGAGTTAAGTGGAAAGTTGATTTGAACCGCTACTTTGATATCGAATTTGCTTAATTATGATGCTCTTAAAATACTAGACAAAAGGTATATAAAAATAAACTCTCAAATACTCTCTCTAAAAATAAATATTTTTGTATAATGGTTATTTATTTCCAAATTATGACTATTTAATATTATATGCTGATTGGGAGGGGGGGCGGATTTATGGCGGAAATATTAATTCACCTGGTAATAAAATTATGTTAATAAGTGTTGAAGCAAACAATTCATTCTTAGCTCATTTCATTGGAGCAAAGCCTTACTGACTCTTCAAGCATTCAGGCAACATCCGGATAAAGCCTCAACTCTCTTCCAAATATTTGCTGGGCAAAATCTAACTAAATGATTTCTTACAGAACGAAAAATAAGTAATTATGAGTCTAACAAGAACAATGTTGAGTAAATTTAAAAATATAAGCAAGTATACTGTATTCTTTCGGATTGTAACACATGTCAAATGAAGTGAGTATTTAATTTAACTATTTTGGTGACTGCCCTAAAGGTTCATGCGTTTTTCACTCTCTCCATTCTAAGAGGTGAAAGTTGTAAAATGGTGCAATGCATACTTAAAACCAATTTCATTTTAATAAAAATTCATTTAAAAATCAGACGTAATGAGCACTCTAGGGCATTTGATATTTCTTTATTTTCGTCCGATTCAAAATATTAAGCGGCTCATTTTTTGAAGGTTTTTAACAAAAGTAATTGTCAACGCTGATATCCCTTCTGATTGAGATTGTCATTAATTGTAAAAAATGACTTAAACTCCACTCAATTGGTCTAAATTTAACTAAATAAACTCACTTTCTTGCTTTCGTTGCAAGATCATATCAGAATGTCAATCAATTTGGCCCGTACGCATGAATACGTAATGCATGAATTTCTCCACATAAATATAAAGGCAGACAGATAGCCACAAATAGATATGTAACCCCAAATTCAGAGTTATTAGACAGTATTTTCGCATGTTTTCTCTGCAAAATTTTGTGGATGTTTTCGATTAAATAAAACGCTTTATCCCATTCAAAATTGTGATCCCACCCCCCACCCCACCCCCCTTTATTTCGGCATTCAATATTTTCCAAACTAGCATGTCGTATTTGCACTATAATTTTCAGAACGTATCATGGCATAAAAAATATCTTAAAACTAAGCGCCTCGTTGAGGAGGCCCAGAGGAACGGGCTCTATCGCGTTTCGAGATACTGATTATTGTCATTAGAAATCGTCTATGAAATCTATTACGACGGCTGTTCAAGTTTTGAACTTTTTTTCTATGTTCCACGCGCGCACTTCAAGTTAAGAAATTATTATGAAGACTTCAGTCTCATATTCCTGGCTTCAATTAATGTGATAACTGAAAACTTCGTGAAAGCTCAATTCGTCAAAGTTAGTAAAAGCAAATTGTCAGAGTAAAATCATTCAAGTGTGCTTAAAATCCATTTTTCCTCCTTCAAATGCCTATGGAACCTTACTTTTGCTTGAAAATCAAAGATTTTTTTCAACATATTGGTTAAATTTTTAAATACCAAAATACTTATAAATAGCACTATATCAAATTTTTAAGTACTAACGAAGATCAATAAAACAATTAAACAAATATATATATATATATATATGCAATATAACTTACGTAAAATTAGGAAATGCATGCAAATGCCTAGGATGCCCAATGAAAGACCAACTTCAAATCTCACCGCAATTGCCAGGAGATAAGAGAAGAGGAAAATGATCAAAGTAGGAACTAAGACCAGTGGAGCACAGAATGTTGGAAGGGTTTTGGTGTTGAGGCGTAGCAATATCCGTATGTCCTCTGAAGTGTGCACAAATGCAAAATATAATGAATGTGCATAACAATTAACACTTTTCAAACATTGATTGGGCAGTTTAGTGGGATGGTATTTAACTAATTGGACCATCTGAATGGTAAGAAGCGGTTTATAAATATTCGTGTTAGTATTATTATCTGGTAGTCGAGGTGAGAGGGGTATATTATTAACTTCATCAGAGCATTGGCCTGGGAGAGTGAAAAATGAAATATGAATATATATATATATATATATATATATATATATCTATGTATTTTAAAACAGAAAAACGGTGAATAAACCCGCTTTGAAAAAGCAGCGTATTGTCCTTTAGTCTTTCATAGCTCAAGGTATTAAGGGGAACGATTCGGAAGTCCCGTGGAAATCAGTTTAATGGATGACAATTATTTTGGTGTGTTCAAATATATTTTACTTTATCACATTACCTACCGTCCATCTTATATTTAAGGGCGATCAAGTAATTCAACCCATGTGTTTTGTGGTGGTCGTTAAATATAGAGAATACCATTATTTTACATATTATTCAGAGGAATGTTGTCACCTGGTATGGTTAATGGCTCTTCTATTATCGGTAATCATAGAACGTTCGCTAAGGCTAATCACTGGCACTGTTTTCAGATCACGAATACAAAGTTGAGAGTTGAAAGAATTTGCTCTGTTTGGGGATATAATGATAACGAAAAGTGAGAGAAAAGACAAGGCGAAACGCGATAAAAGGGGAGCAAGAGCCAAGTGCATGCACCGAGTGGTTTAAAATAGGAATGTGTGGGGCAGAACTGGCAAAGCTGAGTCATCACGAAAGAGGCAGTCGAAAATCAATAATCGACACACTGCGAATGCGAATTCCCAGCGAAGGAGCAAAATGAGTTGTTCGCATCGAGCTTAAGGAGGTAAAAATATTGATTTTTTATATAATAAAAAAATAATGTGAGGTTCGAAGATGACTTGAGAAACCTTTGGGGAATTTTCAATCAATATCGATCGACTTAATCAATGTGCTGATTATTCAAACCATTGAACGTCCACTGATATGGCTCCATGTGGATTCTTATCATTTTTAAAAAATCGATTTCTTCAATTAAGGCATTTAATATTGTCATTTGGTTGATAAAAATTCTCCATTCGAGATATCGGTGTTTTAAATGACCTTACATTTCAGCTATGTGTAGGTGTGCCAAGCAGAAAAGAAACTATTTTCTTCGCGTATTGTGCAAATGTCTGCCCGAAAACTCAACTATTTTCCCGCATCATTTAATTTCGCCAAACAGCAAGCATTACCCACTCGCAGGCTCCGTGAAATTTAATCAAAACTAATGGTTTTTACTTTCCACCCGGAAGGACTCATTAATTTCTTGCCTTCCCACTAAACGTCAAAACTGATTAAGACTCGAATTAATAATCCCCAATTGCCCGTTTGCCCAATTTGTGTGTGTGTGAGGGAGATTGGGCGAAAACTTCCTCTTCCTAAATAAATTTGCTTTCACTTTTACTCTCTAAATCTTATCAAAATACTCACTTTGATTAATTACCACATCTTCTTTGCCTAATTACAAATATGGCAGCTGATAAAAGTTGCAGGCATTAATTTGAGAGGAAATTACCCTCGAAAAATTAAATTTGTTCACCTTTTTCATCCTGTTTCAAACAAGTGGGCTTTGGCCACATAATCACCTTGATAGAGCAATGTTAAAATAAACTTTAAAATGAACTTATTTAATTTATTCTGTTTAATTTAAAAAGTACTTATATCTTTATTTTAGACAAAAGAACACGCTAACTGGAGATTTTACTAGAAATTCATCAGTAGTTTCTAAAACCACGACATATTTCGCAAAATAACTCTTGGACATGAATTTGGCATGACCCTATGTTCTGTTAACAATATGAAATATTGTGTAGCTTGAGTTCGATGTTTGGGGTTTCAGAATGAAAAAGCATTATTTTTACCATCTTGCATTACTTCCTCTCGAATTTCAACTAACTTTGCATATACCAAGCTGGTTTTGCATCTGCTTATCACTTTTTATATGTGATAATTTTTTTCAAACAGTCGAAAATTTGATGATAATACCTCTACCGCAGTGAGTCTGTGTTAAAGACTATTAAAGCTATACTAAAGACGAAATCAAGGTGATCCGTATCAAATATTAATCAAATTTGTCGCTTTACCTTCCAGTTCTGTCAGGGAAGAGCTCGGCAAATTTGGTGTTTTCTTTGAGTTGACTGAGTCATAGAAGAGACCAACACTCAAGGGAAACGTTGTCGCCGGACAGGTGAAAAGATCCGCTAGGGCTTGGATAGCCTGATTGTCCTCATTTTCGTCACCACGTTGCAAATCGAATTCCCCACTCTCTGCCAAATGTTATGCAATGCATAAGCGAGGGAACAAATAGGAAGCGTAAACAAAAGTAAATGCTCGCATTGTCTACCTCTGTCAGTGATCTTCGCATTATTAATAAACTACATGTCAGTCAATCAGTTGAGTCTCGAGGAGATTCGAGTGTGGAATATATGAATAACTAAGCCTATACTTTTAGAACAAATGCTGGGGAAATCCTCAGCAGTCGTATTCTACTCAATCAAGCTGATCCAACAGCTCAATTTAAGTACCATAAAAATCCTGGTGGCTATGGTGACAAAAAATAGGAATTTCCTTTTATTATTGATTCCAATTTACATGTGTGTTTAGTTAAAAATCCACTGAAGCAAGATTAATTTAAAAAAAGCCACCTCGAAGACAGTCCTGGTAATATCAACCAGTCCTGCAAAATATACAATTAAAATTTGCGTTTAGAGTATACAAGAAATGGTTTGTGAAACGTGTAATTACAATAAAGAGGCAAATGATTTCAAACATGCGTCTAGATCCTTCAAATAAATACCTCGATATGAAAGGGTCTCAATAATGAAATAGTACTAGCACATTATGAGGCCTCAAGGGACTCGGAATTCAAATTGGTCCCCTTGTATTTGACATAAACATTGAAAATTCTGTCTTTCCATACTAGAATTTAAAAATATTTGCATCACTAATGAATTTAAATACGGGAAGTAGATACCGAGCAGTTCATTTCAAGTTATTTATAATCGTGTCATGTCTAAAATGGATGTGAGGATTTAAACAATCTAGCTTAGAATATCTGGGTTTAACTAAAATGTTTATTTCACAAGCCATCTTCATTTGTTTACCTACGGAATGGTAATAGTTTATCTGCATTGGAAGAAAATTTGGCCTTTAAAGTTTAATATAAGATTTTAAGCATCACACGGAAACAAATTCTGTGTTTTTTAAACACGATACCATGATATGCACGATTTTACAAAATAAACAGTCCGTGTTTAAATTTTTTGACTAATAAAGCTCAAAACCAAACCTTAATAAAGTTTCACTAAATATTAAAAGTCTAATAGTAATATGGAACCCACAATAAAATATTTTATTTTCATGCAAGAGTATTTGATTCTTTTAAAAGTTGTTTGCTTGACTCTTAGCTGTCTACATTTTAACAATGACCAGGAAATTTTACCCAAATTTGAGATTGTCTAACTTCTGATTAGAGTTCAAACTCACTGTTGGAGTTTCCTGCAGTCTTTTTTCCCTCCATAGTGACACATTTGTGCATTTTCTATTTTTAGCTAGAATTAATACTGGTGATTATGATCTTAGCATCCACTCTCCCTCAACTACTGAATTTACTAATAGATCAATAAGGCAGAGCACAGGGCCATAATGAAGTTATATGCTCATTTATATGGGTGCTCGATTTTAGAGTGCAGTTAGACTTATTTTTATGATCTGACAAAATAATCTGAATATCATGTTAAAAAACACAGAACATGTTTGAGCACTTTAATTTTTCATTTGTTTAGAAGTAACTACAGCGTTTAATTGCCAAGAACTTGATGCTCTGTGGAGACGAATTTAGGAAGCATTCATGCAACTGAATTTAACTTCAAATAAGCAATATGATAAAGGGCTACATGTTTATGCTTCACTCAGTTCGCTTTGTATGCGCTGTAGTGAGTAGTTCTAGGTTAAATGAGCCGTCACTAAACCTACACAGTTGTATTCGAATGGCTACGGGGAGTGAGCATAATCTTAACCAAGAAACTAGGAGCCAAATGCTCCATATTGAACCACACGGTATCACAATGTGATTTCTCTTCATTTTGTAAATGCTGATAGCTCAACTCTCCTAGGTTTTAAAAAAAGAGTTAAGGTCAGCGATGCGCAGACTTCGTTACCCTCACTCACAGCCGTTTCACATTCTACTATAAAATTAGGATTACAAATATTCGGAAAGATTTTTAGCTAAAAGTGAAATAGATTTATTTACTACGATTGGGAAAAGACGCAGGCATTGATTTGGATAATTTGTTCTTAGCGGCGATTGATGAAGTTACTTTGTAAGTAGACAACAAAATGTGAGAGGAATTGCTCCCCCCACGCTTTCTTTTAATGTAATTAACTTTTCTACTTTTTTATATAAAAGAATGATCAAACAAGGATGTATATATAATCATTTAAGCCGAGAAATTACGTCTTCGTGCTACTATTTAGGGTTAGACATGGAATATTTCGCATGAATTTGTTTCTCATTTTCAATTTAGTTCACTTATTATTAGCGTAATGCAAATTTATTAATGCGATAAATTTAATTACAATTAATGTCTGTCCATTAGAAGTAAAGTCTGCGTTAAAGTGATAAATCACTGAATCAGGCAATACGGAGTGAACGTTGTGAACGGTAAAATACTCAGGAAATTTCATGAAATTTGAAACAAGGAATACGGAGGAGTGAACTGCAACTCGATTCAAGGGTTGAAATCCAGCTATTGAAGAATAGAACCCCCTCTTCAGCCCCTTGTCCTTATTTCTCATGGAAAATTTTGATCCAAGTGCCATTAGTTTCCAACGTCAAAATTAATATATGTATATTTGTATGCCGTAGGTCATTATCAAGACAAAAACGTAATTTAGTGTAAGAAAATATTTTACTAAATATTTCCCCACCCAATAAAATGATATTTTATTATTCACACCTGTCATACTTCAAAAATACTTATGTTTTGGCCTGCTTGCTTACTTCAAGGTCATAATTAAAGTAAGTTTTATACCTAACTCTCATTACTAATCTGGGAACTGGAGTATCGCAAAACCCGATAGGGACTGTCATTCCATTAAGTAACTTTTGCGCTTTTCACCCAAAAATTAACTATTTTTAAACTCGTATATGCAAATCCCAGAAGTTTTTTTACCTCACAATGTCTTCCCTTGGTCAAAAATAAGTTTGAATACCTTTCACTATAGCATAAAAGGAATTCGCCCCTTTCTACTTGTTCTCAGAAATTTAGATTATCCCAATTCAATATTTTAACCTCGTTAAAGTTGCCTTTTGAAAATTCTCTACTCCCGTGCAAAATGATCAAAGAGGTCATTTAACATCTGATATTTTAAACCACAGGAATAGAACAAAACTGGAAAAACAAGAGGCATTGAGCACCATCTTATATTGAATTTGCTTGCATTTTGCGAGTTATTGATTAAAAATTAAATGGCGGAAGGTGTAAGACAAATACGTTGAGAAGTAATCGTAGATGAATTAATTATAGAAAATAATTAATTTACATTAATATTTTAAACAATATTTTTTGCAATTTCAAATAGGCAGGCCTCTAACATGCAATAATATCTTGTTCAAATAGTAATTTGTTTAAAGATTCTCTTTATGGATATATTCAATCATGAAGCGCAATTTTTTACCATTAATGATACATTTAACATTTATTAAAGATATGTTTTACGATTTTTTAACGCCACACATTCTCGCCTTACCGTTGAACTTTAAGTGTTGTCGCATATTTAAAGAAAATCCGTTTTTTTATTTTCAATGTCACTTGGTCTGGATTTTGTGCACAGCGTCGTAAGTCGCACCAAGTTAAATCCAATTCTTATCAATGACTACTGGCTAATTTTCTAATAAATACTTAATTTCATCAAACTTTTAGCGATTGAAAGATTTAAATCGATGAAAATCTTTTTGGAATTCAACTTCAAAGTATTTTTAAAAACCTAACAAGAAATGTATAGTTATGCGGTAGTCATGAGATTAAATGCTTTATTTTGGGCGCATATATAAATCCAAATTATAATCGCAATGGTTAGGAAATTGCGCATTTAAAAAAGCACAATTCGCTTATAATTAGCCGTTTTATTCAGATAATATCAATTAAGGTTAATAGAGATTACTCAAAAATACGAAATTAATTGAGATTTTGGGAGTTCCAAGCAAATTAAAATGCGATGAAAATAGCTAGCAACTTGCCCGTTATAGATAAGCCTTTTTATTTTTTTATTTTAACAGAAGATTACCTTCTAAATAATCAGCGAATCATCTACATTCTTGAAATTTACATTTAACAAAAAGTGTTCTCAACTTAATTACTAACTGTTGGCCCACATAATGATTTGCTTTGATATTTTTAATTGGTTTTGTGAAAATCAAATTAACGTATGTTAGAATAACAGCATTTGAGAGTTCCTCCAAATTGCTGAATTTGATTGATTTTTTGTGATTGAGGTGCTGGGCTTTCGCATTGATAACGTAAAATTCCTTTTTAACCATTTGTGTCTAAACTGTATTTATAATTAACGAGCATTCCAACGATTATTGCTATTGGAATCAGGTTTCTAGCGTAGTAATAGAATGTACGAGGCATAAATCTGCTAAAATGAGTCATCGGTGTTTTCAACTTATTCACCCTTGGTCCAACCGTGTATTGGAAATAAAATGGAAACCTCAAATAATTGTCGAAAACCAATCTCCTAAGTTAGTGCTAAAAACTTGTATGTTATTTCTGTCTCATCTTCTAGTGTTCAAGTAGTGTGCATCTCGTCTTAGTTGACATGGCAACAAAGGCAAGGCAAAGGCGGTTCACTTTGCATTGGCAGTTGTAGCGAAATGAGGTATTCACTTGTTAAAAGACATTATGGGTGCACTAGCCCCCTTTCAAGATATAAGGATGATGCTCTTTGATTTACAGTCAAGGGGAGGGGGGGGGGGAAGGGTGTCTGAGAGAAGCCTGTTAGAGTTGAGTTCATAATGACAGTGTCGATTGCCCACTTCTCCATTATAACCAGCTATTTCGTTAGAATAAAAATATACTGAGATTATTAGGTATTTAGCTTTAAAAAAGGATTAATGTTTTATTGCCTCAATGTAGTATAATTAAATATAAATCAGTATGTGAAAGTCAAATATTTACACATCATTAATAAACGCAAATTTAATGTAGAACTCAAATTGACAAAAAATAATGTCCAAAGTTAGTGCATAATTAAAAAATTTAAAATATGCAAACGAAAAATTTATTTAAAGTCATTTCAGACAAAAAAATACACAAAAATAAAATATAACTGTTAATTTAATGCAAATTTTTATTTTAACTATTAGATTTATGATCAATAGGTCGAAGCCTCAACTAAGATAAAATAGTTTCTCGTTGTAATGGCTGAAAAGTTTAATTTAAAATTTCAGGCCCATCGTGCAAAAGAATTTAAGAAGACTTGTCAGTTTCAATAATACTGTGAGGAAACTATAAAATTAATTAAAATATTTGTTAATAAAATATATTTTATACTCCTGCATAAATATATCCAGGCCCGAGAGTTTCAAAATAAGTTTCTCTTATGATATCTTTTCCTTTTATTTAGCAATTTGACTTAGTAAATTAAAATTCGCTGGGTAATTCAGTTAACCATTTCGTATTTCGACTCACCAAGACCCATGAGGCCCTTCATCTCCATTCCCCAATTGGCATCTGATTGAGCCGATCTTTCAGTCCCATAGGCCGAAAGTTTGGAAGCCTGAGTGGAGCGATTCATGAAGGCAAAATCAACGCCCCTTCTTGACATTGTATGTCCTAGTTCCTCTTGCAAAAAATTTACGGCTATAGGGCTTGGACCTAGACCCACCAAGGCTGGAGGTCGTTTGACGCCGAAACCACCGTTTGGAACGTAGGAGGTCCAGTCATTTGCCCGCGGATTACTGCCACTTACCTTCATCTCATTTGAACTGAAACGATGCATTTAAACAACTATAACAATAGCCATAAAAATTACATAAGAAGTTAGGATAAACGTTCGTGGTCATGAAACAAGGACCATGAATGTATATTTTAATGTAAAAGGAAAGATTTGGTTAACAGAGTGTACTAATACTCATTTAAAATCAAGGACTTCAGTCCCCTATTTTCCTTTAATTAGTTTAGAATGTGCTCAAAGTAGATTTTAACGAAAAAAAGGGTGAATTAATAAATATCATTATTCATTATTAGCTAAAGCACTCCTCATTTCTTAAAAAGGGAATGACAAGATAAATGTTCATTTACAAAGTTAGACACTAAAACTGACGAGTTATTTGAACCTAGACAGTCGACTAAGTTAAGGAATTTTGCATCCGAGTACTGTAAATACGTTTCATCATTATCTATTAATGCTAGAAAGTGAGTTCGGAACGTACAGGTTCAATCACTTCATTAATCGATTTCCATCAGAACTCTCGATTTTCTTAAAATAAAATTAAAATAATAAAATGACATAATAAATTTGGCGCTTCAATTGCTCAGAGGAGACAAATAAAGTTATTTTTTAATTTTAAATTCCTCGCATAAACAGCATTTTTGAATTCTTGAAATTAGGTCCCGGAAATTGCACTTGAGGTGCGTCTTCGTATAAGAGCAGTTGTACCCTTAATTTTGCCTATTTTTTAAATAATTATTCCATGAAATCACCCATTTAATTTTTTATTTACTAATTACATGAACCCATGGGATGAAACGAAATCATCCTGGGCCAACTCCCTCTGGAATTTCAATGTTATGCGCCATTTTCATTTTTTTTAAATAATACCACATACACTGCTACAATCAATATTTTCTCGAGTTTTCAGAGATTACTATGTCGTTTGCCACGTTTGCAATAACGCAAAATCAGCACAAAAAGAGACAACAGCAATTTATTTCTCTAACGTTTTTGAATTTAAGAAAATACGTATCTTTGGTGATTTAGCGTTTCATATGCGCATTTTTATTGCTTCCATTTAAAAGTTGTAATTTTTTGGAGGTAGTTTAGGAGATAAAGACCTCAAAGAATGGGAGAAACATATCTATCCAGATGATCCATAAATTTTATATTGCTCTCCAATAATTTCAAACCAATATATTATTAAGCACCATATCCTGTGTGAATTTTTTTCGCTTTTGAATAGTATTTCTTACTATAGATACGCTCCTGAATTCGGGGTTTTTTTGGGGGTGGGAGGGGTAGAGAAATTGAATATTATTGAGGCAGTACTCATTAGTAGAATTTAGGAGTATAGGCAGCTGCCAATAATCCAAAAATGAGAAATTGAATTGAATAATCGATCTTAATGGTGTCTTGCACCAAATAGATTTCATTTCTGCCATTTTGTAAAATCCAAGTGGTGGAGAAAACTAAATCAACATTTTTGGCTACAATAGATGTCTTTCATTGCCATGAATTTAAACTAATAAGTTTGGTTGTTCTAATGCATCAGTGTAGGCGAAATAAGATGACAGCTTAACTGTACATCTTGGGAGGGGGGCGGGGAAGGTGTACCACTGGGAGAATGTAAAGCAAATAATCGAATGAGACAGAATCATTTTAGCGTCAGGTTGAAATTCAAACCAATTTGTTAACTAATGTTAGCCGGAATCGCGTGTGATTCGATGAATTTCTTGTGTCGATGGCAATTTTGAGGGCCTTCTTGCATTACCGTTTAAGAGGCTTGTTTTCCATTAATGCTCCTTAAACCACTGAACATTAGAAATTTTCCTAATTTCGAAAATAAATTTAAAAAAGTATTTAATTAGTTTTCGACTGTTTTTGGACATTAAATAACCTCGAGTTCTTTAAATATAATTTCTAATAATGAACTGTGTGGTCAAAGTCAACGAAAACAGGAAGTTTAATGTTTTCCTCAATTATTTAATTTTATCAAATTTTAAAGGAAAAAAAAATTAGAGTAAGATAA